GAGAGAGAGAGAGAGAGAGAGAGAGAGAGAGAGAGAGAGAGAGAGAGAGAGAGAGAGAGAGACGGGACACCGTTCTGCCGTGAGTGAAAGAAGCAACAGGTTAAGCTGAATGCATTATATAATGAAACTTGTAATTGCAAGGACCTAACACTCATTTCAACACGGTAAGGTAATTTAATAGGTGGGGTGTCCGTTGAGGACCTTGTTGGATACGACCAATGAGGCTGATACGCGAAAAACAACCATAGTTGGTTCCTATCAGTGTTTCTATTGGTTTCTTTTGCTTCTCTTCTGCACTCTCCTCGTCGTGTCAATGTGCTTCTTTTTACTCACACGACTAGCTTAACACATCGCTACCTTAGATAGAAATACAAAAGTTCTATCTGATACTTTGGCCGTTTTGAGTTACTAAGACTACTAAGACCATGAAGTCAGAAACCAAATATTCTATCTGTTCCATCAAAATCGTAGGATTATTCGGAGTCGTAATCAAGATGTTCAAAGCCTTGCATTCGAAAAGACTTGGTACATGTTGTCAAACTCAAAATCTTTAATGTCAAATTTCTCAAAACTCTGTACTGAGCAGACATAACAACTTGGTAATTTTAGGGCAGCAACATGGCATCTTGAGGGAGGAGTAGCATTGAGCAGACACTTGCAAAGGGCATCCAGAAGATGGGAAAATCCTCAAGTTCTGTACTGTATGGCAATATCATGAAGCTATCCCAAGAAAGGGAAAGGTGGAAAGTGTTTGTTCGTGGCTTATACCCTGATGCTGGATTTGCTTGTTTGAGTAAAGAGACGCACATCGACACGATAATGGTCATTTGGTTTTTGTTTTAGTTTTAGTGGAGGTTTTACGGCGCTTGCAACTGCTTATTAAGGTCATATGAGCGCCAAGGGGTAGATGTCAACAGAGAAGTCCTTACAGGGAATCAGACTTACTCTGCTCACCTCTCTAGCCTCAACAGCACAAAGTCTGCTTTGGCTATCAAGGTCCCTCAGAAATAGCGGGTCACAAGATGTGACAAACATACAAAAGACGTAGAGGAAAATGACGATAGTAAGGATTAGGAAAGAAAAAGCAGCAGTTCCCTGTTGCTGTTCAGGCACAGTTATGAGCATAATATTGATGAATCAGCCCATTTTCAATTAAAATTCTACTGTGCATAAGAACTCGAGAAGTTAATGTCCCCCCCCTTTGGGAGTCATTTGGTGCAGGGAAAAAAGTAAGACAGAAGGTCAGAAACAACAGAAGGCACAGGTAAAGAAGTAGGAACTATCACTATTATTTGCGGCACCCTAAAACCGCCCGCACAATGTGGTCAATCTTCCCCAGAAAAACAAAAAGGGCACATCTGATTAGATTAAGTTTATTTGATAGTTTGTTTACCATGGAAAGAAAAAAAGAACACATTACACACACACAGTGATAAGAACATGCTTCCCCGTGCAACAGCTCCGCTCCCCTCACGACCTTCTCAATATTTCCATGCCCATTAGAGCCGTGACGCTACGACAAAGGTCAGACGAGAGAGGTCATCGGGAGTCGGCATGCCAGGTCACCATATTCTTAGCACAGTAACTAGTTCCTCTACTGTACACTGCCAGACTGCTCCTGCTAGCCAGGGGTTGGCGTCATAAGTAAAAGGACAAATGTCGATGTGAGGTATACGGGGATGAGCAAGGGTAGAAAAGGTAAATAATTAACGATGATGATGATGAGGAATTTATGGAACGAGACAACGACATGGTGGGCAGTTGAACACGTAAAAGGAAGTCATCCATGAAATATCCCTGCAGATATGGTCGCATGTACAAGTTAAAAGAATTATCTCCCTTGCTACAAACTGGCATAATGCTATTTATTCGTTCAGTAAAATAATGTAGCACTACTAGCTGAGTTTAAATGCACACCTTGTTCATCCTGGTTGTGAACGAGAAGTCTCACAGAATTTTGGCTAAATCTGAAGAACAGATATATATATATATGTACTATGAACAGTAAAGAACTTGGACCAAGGACTGGAAATGTGGCACAGCCAGTTCTCGAAGCTCAATACCTAGGAGGATACTTCCCATCTATGAAGCTGTAAAATAGGCCAAAATGGGTAAAGAGCAATTATATACAGACAGGACATTATTGTTAGCACAATAATAATATATTTCCAAAGGTAGGCTAGGAGTTTATAATATTCTACTATGACAATCATCATGTAGCGCCAGATCTGAAACAAACATCAGTGATCATGGTTGGCCTCTCATTTCTCTGCTCAGATGCTCTACAAAAACCTTGCGTTGTCCTTCTCTTTCCCAGTCATATATCTGTTCAAGTTCTCCTAGTTATAGTGAGTTGCCCTCGGTCTACTTCTGCCTCTTTTGTCTTTTTTTCTTCCAGTGAGAGCACGATGTTCAAGGCCCTTATGTTTATTCAAGAGTCCCAGAAACTGTATTTGTCTCTTCCTGATATTGTTTTAATTTGAGAGCGGCCCTCTCAGGCGTCCTTCAGCCATACCTCACTTGCTGTCCTTTCCTTCTATGAAATTCCCAACAGTCTCCAAAGAAACCACTTTTTGTGTTGTTTCAGGTGCAATGATGCTCATGATATATTCCAATGCAGTAAGACTCTATGCTTTAACTTCGACTTCTTGCAATATTTCTGTTAGCTAAAACAGTATTTTCGTTGTCAGGAAAATAGAGGGACAAAGGTCTTCCAGAGACAGGTGGTGGTGGTGAGAACAACTGCCGTGACACCGGGGGAGAAAAAGTGGGCGACTTAGACCCTAAATTGATGACCTTTAACATTCACGATGAGATGGAGTAATAAATAAATACACCAGAAATAAAGAATTTACCTCACTGCTAGCAAACTACTAGAACAAGCCAGCTTGAGATGGGGGCAGAACTATACGAAGACCAAGCCCACAAGACAAGTGTGTGAGTGTACAGTATGTTACACAGGTGAAAAAGGGTAAGACTCATATATTGAAGATGACAGTTTAATAAAGAAAATCATGGTTGTAAAGTAATGATGACAGCAAAATTACAAAATATTTTCAGCAGAAGAGGGTTTGCCAAGCTTGAAGTATACAAGTTAAGCCTACTAGAGAACAGATATGAACAGGAAAATTCTAAAACATAACATCACCATGAATCCATCCATCTATTTAAGTCAACTAATGAAAACAAGGGAAACTCAAAACGAGTTTTGCTGACTCACAACAAAACTTCCAGGTTCCAGACCGCAAATGATACAGCAGATTTTTTTAACCTTCTGGCACTTTCGACACGTACTATTGGGTCGTACATATGCCAAGAACAAAATAAGGACATGAGAAGAACCAGAAACAGAAGGGTGCCATCCACTTCATGGCAACGTCTGACCAACTGCTCTGGTCTGACCAACTGCTCTGGTCTGACCAACTGCTCTGGTCTGACCAACTGCTCTGGTCTGACCAACTGCTCTGGTCTGACCAAGTCCTTTTCTACTATAGAGAACAACAAAGGCTAAAACAAACAACTAATCAAACTGAAAGGATAAATTAAAAGAAATATTGCAAATTAATATGGCAAAATAAAAAGAGATTCCGATAGTTACAAGAGCTGCAAGTTTCAGTCAGAGAGCACACAAACAAAGAACAACATTACCAAAACATATGGAAATTATTAATACCATATTCTCCTTGAACATTTCAGAAAAAAACATAAATCAATCAAATACTGAAGAGCAACTGCAATTAACCATGAGGATTTTCATGTCATTTTTTGGAGTTGAAATTCTATAATTTCTATGAACCAGGCAGTGGAAGGGACAGAGATGAAGGGAAAAATGGACACATAGATCCATCAATAAACGTGAATGCCCCAGGGTTTTGCAAAACAGACAAATTTAGGTTCAAGTTGGAGAAAAAGTGTTCACATGGACAGTCATATATATGCTTAATACTTAATAATAATTTCTCAATTTGACTTTTGAGCATGAGCAAGTGCCTCATAAAAAAACCCATGGGTAGTGCTGACAAAAATTGTATGTACCATCAACTTGACAACAAAAGTGAGACCACAGCCATCTGTACATCACCCGACTAACAGTTTAGGGACAAGAGAGCAACAATACTGAAAAAAACCAAAAACAGAGAATAACTAATAAAGAAATACTAGCTAAACTGGAAGCAACAACAAAACAGCAAAACAAGAGATAAAGATTCAAAGCAACGCATCATTATTTGTTGAGAATGACTCCAATCTAATGTATTTCTGAAGAGCAAAAATAAAAAAATAAAAATACCTCTCAGAATTTGTCTTGATTTTCACGAATTCATTAGGCCATTGATCGTTAAACAAAACTAAAGGCCTTACCAAAAAACTATAAATAAACTTAGAGTAACATTATCAATGCTCCAGGTATAGGGAAGCAGTATAAGTTGGTGGAAACCAATCTAGAAGCAAAGTACAGAATGTCCATTAGACAAGGTTCTGCGACTACTCTAACATACAAAGGTGTACAGTATGGAATATATCGCCACGGACATCCATGGACTCTGCAATGTGTAAATAAACATTATGATAAAGCTACGGGTCTAAACAGGTTGTAAGAAACAAAATCCATGCTAAGACCACACTCAAAATCTCATGTAACATACAGACAACTGATGATTGCAGTCATTTGGCGGGACCAAGCTTTCATGATCGTCCCTTCAATGCAGGAGCATGCACACACATTCACACATGTACACACACACACATACATTAACATCCTTCCACGTTGTAGAGCGTGCCTTTTCAGAGCTCACATTAGACATCTACATCAACTCCCTGTTAGCCGAGGGGTTGAGAAAAGGGGAAGTAAGTTTTATGGATATGGGCGGGAGTGTATGGAACCTGGCTAAGAGAGGAAGCAAACCTCTGAGCTTTAACTCTCCACAAAGGCTCATCATAGCACCAGAATTTTGTCCTACCAGGTCCTTGAAAAAGAAGTAAGAAAAATTCACATCTTGTTCAATTTTCGAACGAGAGATTTAAAAAAAAAGTGGATTATATCACAGATATATCTTTTCAGGTACCTCAATTTTAGCGCTCTCTACATGGCCAGTCAAAGACTTTTCCAATCTTTTCCACAAGGACAAAATTTTTGTTCTCTCTGAACTTCAATCAGAGCTCTCCATTTTACCTAGTGAGCGCCGGCATTAAATATATATGTCATTTAATAAAATTCCCACATAGTTCCTTTTTTTTATATCACATGCCAGAGGATATATCAGCCACACAGTGTGACAGAACAAAGATAATGCTTGTGCATTTGAACCCATGCACACAAGCTGTTGTTCCAATGTAATTTAAAAAAAAAAACAAAAAAAAAAACCCAACCCTCAAACCAGCAGACACCAAACAACTGGCTTCCGTTCGTTTTGCTGAAAAAGTAATGGTGACTCATCTGCGCAGACAAACAAAAGCCTCAACTGAATTAGTAAATGCTCAATTGATAAAAAAGACTTGACTTAACTAAACAGACTAAAGCTAATCCTCTTTGGCAGAGCCCTTGTCCGCCGGGTTGGGAAGCTTGATGAGGGAAGGTTCCACACCCCAGATCTCCTTGGCGTATTCCTGGATGGTGCGGTCGCTAGAGAACTTGCCGGAGGAGGCCACGTTGAGAGCGGCTTTCACGGCCCACTTCATCGGGTCCTGGACAGCAAGGAGATGAGAAGAAAAGTGTCAGATGTAACACGAGTAATAGAAGGAAGCTGGATGGACGCTAGAGCTGAGCGATGCTTCTTAAAAACTTACTTTTCAAATCCATTCACATTTACTGCAAACATTCACTTACTTAGCCGAAAATCTTCCTCCAACTTCATAATGCTTTAAAAAAATTCTCTTGTAGTTTCAATCCCCCCCCGCCCCACCCCCTCCCTAGTTACTTCATTCCCCTCTGCACATTCCATATATCATATTTGGAAGCACTGAACCTGGGGTTATTAGGAACCAACCAGCAAATTTGAATGCTCTCTTAAGAGAGGGGAACAGGTTCTTTAAAAACAAGAAATAAGCCTCGATTGCAGCTCTGAATATTTGTACACATTCCAAAGCAGCACCATCAATGGTATGTTAAAAAAATGTTTTGGTTTGAAAAGATACATTATATGGTAATTTGAATTTTAAAAAACATACTGCAGTAAATCAAAGACCATTAAAAAGATGACGAGTAAGAAAAACAGCTGTCTTTTATCTTAAAGATCACTTCAACATGAAAAAGGTAGATCTTTCTACTCTGTTCTTAAAAACACATAAAAAACTTTTTATAAAGAAACGCTCGTTCAGAATTAGATAAAACATTATAGGACATTAAAGAAAATGGTAAATGTCTACTTGAGGCCTCCATTCAGAACTGACCAGACTTTGCACATTTGGGGTCTCCACTCTATGTGGACAGCTGCACGATGTCAAGAGCGTAAGTGGGCTTTAAACTTTTTTAAAAGGAGGAGGAGGAGGGGGGTCAATTGAACATTGAATTTTCACCAAGAAAACCTCATAAGCCTAGTTCAGTGATATAAATACTGTCACCAGCCCCTCCACACTTGGAATGTCCTTTTTGTTTTGTTTTCGTTAGGTTTTACGGTGCTCGAGACTGCATACGGCCACATGGGTGGATGTCAACAGAGAAGTCTAAACGTGGAATCAGGTTTACTCTGCTAACCTCTCTAGCCTCAACAGCACAAAGTCTGCTTTGACTGTCAAGGCACCCCGAAAACAGAAATTCACAAGCAAGTGACAAACATACAAAAGAAGTAGAGGAAAATGACGATAGTAAGGATAAGGAAAGAAAAAGCAGCAGTTCCCTGTTGCAGTTCAGGCACAGTTATGAGCATGACATTGATAAATCAGCCCATTTACAATTCAACTGTGCACAAGAACATGTTAATATCCCCCCTTTAGAAATGGTCTAAAGACACTTCAGTCAGTAGCACAGCCCCGGAGGGGGGGAGAGGAGCTCCGTATGCCCTATGGGACATTAATCAAGAGAAAGAGAGAACATCGACAGTTTGTACTGACCTTGAAAAGCTCGGACACCTGGTCCTGGCAGTCCACGTATGCTCTGAAGTCGGCACACAGAGCAAATCTACAAGGGGGAGATAAAAAGAACGATATGTACTTCTTTGATTGACATTCACTTCCACTCTCAGTGTTAGACACGCACAGACAAGTATCATCTGAAACTTTTTAGATTTTTAGACATCACAATTGGACACTCCCAGAGGGAAGCTGTTTGCATAGTATGATCCCGTAAGAAGACACGAAATAATTTTTCAAAAAAGGTCTTTGAAATAGATGATACTTTTTGTTGCACATTAAATTTTTAGCAGATGAAGGGAGCATGAAAAACATGGATTTAGTCACTCCCTGTTCAGCCATTCATATGTGTAGCCACTCAATATTGCTGTACTCTGAATAAACCAACAGAACAACAGCCCAAGTGCTCACCCTAAGTACATGTTTGACTATGACAACTGCATCAAACAAATAAAATAGATGGCTCCTGCATGAACATAATGTGAGTTTCATGATGATGCATCACGCTTAACAACCCCCCCCCCCCCCCTTCCACTCCTACACCACTCCACCATTACAAACACACACACACACATGCACACCCACCCACCCCCACAGTGGTCCACCCACCCCCACATATCTTCTAATTCTCCAGGAAACATAACCTGGGAAAATCAAGAGCGTACCTGTCATTGTTGAGCAAACCGTTGTAGAGTTCACAGAAGAGTCCAGGGTCCTCTGGGCTGAAGTAGCCACTGTTGAGTTGATCAAGAGCCTGTTTCAACTCCGCATCTTGCTCGTAGAAAGTCCTCGGGTTGTATCTGTCGTCAGAGAGAAGGCAGAAACAGTGAAAACTTCTCTGTTTAACCACAAAAAACCCCCATCTGTTCTGAACCACACAAAAACATGTCAAGGGGGCTCAAACTCTGAAGTTCACTGAATCGGAAAAGTAACCATACCAAACCCAAAACCATATTAAAGCACCAGATTGAGAAAAACAGTACAGCAATGTCACCATTAATGCTAAGACACAACTTACAGCGAATCAGTGCAATAACTATACCACTTAATGAAGATAGCCTACAGGTATTGGTATAGATTAAATTTCTCTTTCAAAACTGTTAGGGGGGTGTAAGAAGACCTCAGAAACATACATCCACTTCCAATTGGACTGAGCAATGTGGGTGGAGAGACTTGAAAACTCTCCAAACAACCAAAGGTTAAGGATGCTCTATTGTGGGTTCGAACTGGGGACATCTACACCATAACATAGATGTAGCTCATATACAAGTCTGCATGATAAAAGCCAAACTTCACCGCCTCCTTTTTTGTGTTTGTTATTGTCTTATAACACTTCTAATCTTTGGCACTTATATGACCTTATTGGGTTGCAAGCGCTGTAAAACTCTTACTAAAACTATTTTAAAAAACTGACCCTTTTCTGAAGAGTTCCTCCACTTGCTCCACAGTCATGCCAAAGATGAAGATGTTCTCCTTGCCCATCTCCTCCATCATCTCCACATTGGCACCGTCCAGAGTACCGATGGTCAGGGCACCGTTCAACTGGACACACACAGACAAACAAAAAAGTTAGCCCAGCATGGACAACAAATCTGTGAACTAAGTAAGAAAATATGATACAAACTGGCCAAAATAACTGCCACTTTACAGGAAAAGTGTGAATCATTAAAACAAGATTAGTAAAAACAAACAGTTCCAAGACTCTTACTGAAACAGGTTTAAAGCAGTTACTTTCCACCCTCTAAATTTACCATTGACCAAAAGAGATAAGATCATCAAGCAAAACATTTAATTATTTGAAAAGATGTGATAAGAAAACTGAGTGATCTTTCCCCAATTCTTTCGAAACTCGTGCAGCACAACTGCAGACCCTTCACGGACAAAAGTTAAAAGTGCTGGGTCAAGAGTCAAAGCAGTATGTGGTTGACAGTGAATTGGAATAATAGAAACAACTTGCAAGGAGGCACACTATGATAAAAGCAAAACTAACAGAAATGTGGTTTCTAGGATACAGCTGAGAATATCGTGGAATGAAAAGAAATCAAATGAGTCAGTACTTGATGAAGCCCACGTGGGACGCTCACTGTTAAAAACAATCAGGAAACGACAAATGCAGTTTTTGGGACACCTGAAGAGGCAAAGGTCTTGAACATCTAGCTCTAGTTCTCACTTACAAAATTGAAGGCAAACGAGGCAGGGATAGGCCCAGAGCAACCTACTTAGGGAACCAAACAAATGGATAACGGGGAAAGATCAGGGAAACGCAGCTTTTTTAAGAGCATCCGAGCAAAGGAATGAATAGAGAACTATGATCGCCGATGTCTGTTGCAGATCTGACACTGGATGATGATGAAGAAGATGAAAAAACAAAGCAATTCGATAAAATCCAAGTCTCTACAAATCTCCTATACATCGACGACGGGGGATACATACTCTTCCTCAGCACTCACCATGAACTTCATGTTGCCAGTTCCGGAAGCCTCTGTGCCGGCCAGAGAGATCTGTTCGCTGAGATCGGCAGCGGGGATGATCTTCTCAGCCAGGGAGACGCGGTAGTTCTCCAGGAAGATGAACTTGAGGCGGTCGCCCACAATGGGGTCGTTGTTGATGACGCGGCCCACGTTGTTGATCAGCTTGATGATCATCTTGGCAGTGTGGTAGCCAGGGGCGGCCTGATAGTCGGGGGAAACCAGATTGTTTTATTATGTTCCGTTCCTTTTTTTTTTTGTAGAAGATTCACAAGTTTTGTTGGGAACTTAGTATGCTTGCATGAGCTTAAATTGCTAGTAAGAGCTCAAAAAGGCTGTATGAGCTAATTTGCTTATAGGAGAGAAAAAGAGGGAGGGGTAACGAACAGAAGAGGAAGGATGAGAGGGACAGAGAGAGAGAGAGAGAGAGAGACAGAGACAGAGAGAGAGAGAGACAGAGAGAGAGAGAGACAGACAGACAGACAGACTGAAAGAGAGAGAGAGATACACAGAGAGAGAGATACACAGACAGAGATAGAGAGTGACAATCAAACAGATAGATAGACAGAAATACAAAAAAAGAAGCTTGGGTTGGGCGTGGGGGGTGGGTGGGGGT